TTCCTTAAATGTTTAATTTAATTTACCAGTGCAGATATCTGGGCTATTCTTCATTGGATGGTTTTAAAATGTTCAATGTGTTTAGTTGTTATAGGACTGTTTCACTTACCTATTCCTTATTGAGTGAGTTTGGTAGTTCGTGAATGTTCAGTGAATGTTCCCATTTGTTGGATTTATGTTGAATTTTTGTTTTTAGAGTTTCCATTTTATTTATTTATTTTTTACCTTTTTCTATCTCTCTGCTAAGTTCTTCTTATTATCCCCAAATTGTCCTTTAAGTGTCTATAGGCGTTACAGTGGTATCTTCTCTTTCCTTCAGACACTGGTGAACTTGTGCATTCCTCTCTCTTTGTCTCTCTCTGTCTCACAGTTTTGCTCATTATTTTTGGTTATTTTGTTTGATTTGACTTGCAGTTGCTCCTCATTGTCTGGTTTCTTAAGATAAAGGCTTATATCATTGACTTGAGATTTTTGTCTTTCCTCCTATAATCATTTCATTATATAAATCTCCTTCCCAAGTACTGTTTTAGTCACGTCCACAAATCTTAGTATGTTGTATTTTCATTTTTATTCAGTTCAAAATGCTTTCTCATTTCCCTTGTGACTTCTTTGATTCATGGTTTATTTATAATACTATTGTTTAATTTCCAAATGTTTGAGGATTTCCAAGATACCTTTGTTATTTATTTTTAGTTCAATTCTTAATTAAAATGGTAAATGATGAATATCACCTGTTCAGTGTGATACATGCTAGATCACACACACACACACACACACACACACACACTCTCTCTCTCTCTCTCCCCCGACCCCTTTCATAAAGTACTTGAAATTATAGAGGAATAAAGAATGGTGACTCAGAAGGTTTCATAGAGGAAATGACAGACTTGGGATTTTAGGGTAAATTTGGCTCATTAGACAACATGGATGTTCTATACAGAGGAAATAGAATGAAGCAGAGCACATTTGAGGAGAAACAAATCCTTTGTGAAGCTGATCTGTAGAACAGAGCAGTATTAGGAAATGATGCTGGAAAGAAACCAGATGTTCTAAGAAGGAGGAAAGCTGAACTTAGAGATCTTTCTAAAGGGATTAGACTTCAAACTGTTATTGCAAGGAGTTCTTAATGCATTTTAAACAGAGGAATGCAGAATCAGCTTTTCAAAGGGTATCGCTGGCAGGAGTGCAAAGGACAGAATGAAGAGAAGGGAAAGATGCAGGCCAGGGATGTCAATTAAAAGGCCATCAAAATCATTTGGGAGAGAGGTGATGCATGCTTAAACTAACACATTGGTGCTGAGGACTATGAGGAGAAAGCCAAAGTAAGTTATGTTTATGAATTATAATTGATAGGTATTGGAGACAGTTGGATATGAGGAGTATGAAATGTATGAAGTATGTTCTACAAGTTGCTGGCTTGGGACAGGATACCGTGATACACTGAGATAGGGAAGAAGCAATAAAGTACAGGATTGGAGACAGGTGATGAGTAATATTTTGGAGACATTGCATCTGTAGAGTGCTTTGGAACATTCTTGTTAGGAATGTTAGCATTTTGTTTTAAGTTTTACATGATATAAATAATTTCAAAAAAGAAATGAAGGAATGTGTGTCATCTAGTTTGCATATGGAAACATGGATCTTGCACTGAAGAGAGTAAACTAAAATAGACACACACAAAAAAAGATAAAATTAAATAGACATACAGGTTTTGGAGTTATACGTTTATAAGAAGCAGATAAAACCATAAGAAAGAAGATAGGATTGGTCTATAAAGACTATAAAGTGACAATATAAAGATTTTGATAATGGCATTCATGATCTAGTTGAAGAGAAAAAATAAGATTTCAAAGACATGGAAAGAAACCACAGAAAGAGTTTTTGAAGTCAATGAAAGGGATAGAGAGAAAATAGTCAACAGTTACAAATGCTGAGATGGCATAAAAAATGATAGAGCCCAAAATGAGATTAGTTAGCTAATTAATAGGTCTTTACTAGTTTTTGATTGAAGTAGGCTGAAATGAAAACATATTGAAATACTAAAATATTTATTGACTTTTGTTTCACAATGACAAGACAACTTAATTTTTATCTCTCTAGCCACTTTTAATCACACCAGGTTTTAAAAAAATATAGTTACCAGTCAACAGTTAAATTACACAACATACAAAGTTAATTTTAAGTTACCACAGTTAATAGTTAAGTTACCACAAAATACAAAGTTAAATCAGTTAAACTGAAATCAGTCCCCCCCCCCCGTTCCCCCTACACACACAATAGACACTTAGTAAAGACAACTATGTGGCAATATTGATAAGCCAGGAATATAAAAACATTGTAGAAGAGAACACTGACATAGCCTCACAAATGCACTTCATGATGGACAAGACCTAGTTGTTATGGATACAGGAAGCATTAGCTGATTGCTTTTCATTGAGCTTAGAGTGAGAAAGGAAATGATTAAAAAAATCTTATCATTCATCCTATCTTAACTATGGTACCCTCATAGACTCTTTGATCATCAGTCCAGCAAGCCATGATTGATCTCTCTTTCTCTCTCCCTCTGTCTCTCCCCACTCCCCCCTTGTTCCCCTTCCCACTCTTCTTCCTTCTCTCCCCACTTTAGACTCTCAAAACATTCCCCAACATATATAGGCATGTATTTTTCTATTCTTCATTGACATCTTGTAAACTTCTTGAGCAAATCAGCTTTAGCATTTCTTTCTTTTTTTCTTAATATGATAAAGTACCCAGTGTATTACCTGATATCTGATACTTAGTAAATGACCAATGAATATCGTGTAAGTACTTTAAATTTGTTAAACATATTTTTGAGACCCTAAATCATGTGTCTGTCTATATTTATTATTTAGTTAATATGTGTAGACATTTTATAAATGCTGAAGGATAGATATAAAGCTGAATAAAATATGGGACACCTAGGTGGCTAAGTTGGTTAAGCTTCAGACTCTTGATTTCAGCTCAAGCCATGCTTTCAGGACTGTGAGATGAGCCCTGCACATTGGGCTGTGCATTCACCAGAAAGCCTGCTTGAAATTCTCTCCTTCCCCCTCTGCCCCTCCCCACCTGCTACCTCTCACCCTCTCTGTCTCAAATAAATAAAATCTTTAAAAAAAAAAAAAAAAAGAGAGATGACTAAGATGGTCCCTGCTCTTGATAGCTGAAAACATAGTAGAGTAAAATTGACATTTAGCCATATTATTTCATTTAGCCCAGCTAATTAAATATATAAATAGAAAGACATTTAGATAGACAGTTTGATCAAACATATAGACAGGTTTATAGATTATTTCAAAATATATAATTACCAATATAATAGCACTAATTATATGAGGACAGCATTAAATCAGATGTATCTTATGCATGCAAGCATGCTAGCCAAAAGGAATAGAAGAGACAGCCTCTATTCTAGTAAAGGAGCCTGATTTATATAATTATAACAATCCATCTTGAGCTTTTATTTGAGAAAAGGGGAAAATGATATAGTATTGTACGTTTTAAAACATATGCAGCATTACAGAGGCTAGACTTAGACTAGTGCTTGTAAGGATGCCCTAGCAGTTATTAAATAAACATTTTCATATCATGAAATTGATTATGTTATCCTTGTCTTGTATAAGGGTGTCTTGTAGAAACTAAGATAAAAGAAAACTAATTTAATAAAACAAAGTTAAACTTTTTTTTTAAAGATTTTATTTATTTATTTAACAGAGAGAGAGAGATTGCAAGTAGGCAGAGAGGCAGGCAGAGAGAGAGAGAGGGAAGCAGGCTTCCCGCCAAGCAGAGAGCCCAATGCGGGGCTCGATCCCACGACTCTGAGATCACGACCCGAGCTGAAGGCAGAGGCTTAGCCCACTGAGCCACCCAGGTGCCCCATCTTTTTTTTTTTTTTTTTTAAGATCATCTACTCCAGAAAAAAAAAATGACTTTTGGAAGAATGATAGGGTCAAGGAATTTTTTATTGTGGATATCTTTTTTGAAGTACCTCAGAAGATAAGATATTTTAGAAGTAGAGAGTATACATCATAAAGCCTATACTAAGCTGACTTGGAGTCTCATGTTGAAGTTGTTTTTCTCATCTTTTTTCTATAAAGTTCATAGAATTATGGGTTTGTTGGAACTATCTAGTAGAACATGTGTTCTCAATGAGGAATAAAACCTCCAAAGGATGAAAATTGGTACATGGGGTTGGGCAAAAAATCTCTTACTCTTTATTATATTTAAAGCAGAGATATGCATCCAGTTCCCAAACAGTATATCTGTAGAATTAAAATTTTACAAGGAGGTTAATGACTTAGAAAAATAAATGTCTAAAAATGCTTGTTAAGGGGAAAATGATAATTTTTTTAAAAAGGTGGAGAAACAATTTGAGCACATTTCTAGTAGAAAAGAGAAATCCATAAAAATTTATACAAGGGAAATAATCTATTATTTTATAAGTATCTTAAGTTACACACGATTTCTACCAGTCATCATCAAAATGTAATGAAACTTTGGACCAAAGTAAATGATAAGAACCAAATGTCATCCAAAGCAATTGAACATTACCATTATGTGGTTATATAAACTATCAATAATCAGTGTTTTTCTTTTAATTTTTAGAAATTCAGGATCATTTGTTGTAGCCCTCTTGAAATATTTTTAATGGTTTTTGAAAGACAAAAGATAAGCTTAGGGGCACATGGGTGGCTCAGTCAGTTGAGTGCCAGACTCTTGATTTCAGCTCAAGTCATGACCTCAGGGTCCTAGAATTGAGCCTCAGGTAGGACTCTGTGCTTAGCGGGGAGTCTGCTTGAGAATTCTCTCTCTCCCTTTCCCTCTGCCCCTCCCTTCACTCACTCTGTCTCCATCTCTGTCTCTAAAATAAATAATCTTCCTTAAAAAATAAGTTTATATACTTTATGTAAAACATTAAAATATCACAAGTAAATGAATTTATTTAATTTTTTGTCAATTTTTAAAATTTTAGTTAAAGAAGAATCAGCTCTGTCTTTACATTTGGCTGGACAGTCAAATACCACACAATGGCTGCATCAGAAAGACACATCAGTAATGGTTGGAAAAGAGAGTGACTGTGTCATAGCAGCACATATTTGCCAAGAATCAGAACATTGTACTCTGTTGTATGAAAATTTTAAGAAAACCTGTGGGAGGGAATCAGAACAATGCAAAACCCTCGATGGAGGCTACCTGTGTGCCACATTAAGAGAAAGCCTGAAAGAAACAATATTGTGGAATTGTCATTGCAACGACCCTTCAAAAGCAGAGTGCACTGAAATTTGGAAAAGTTTGTTTGAAGACATTTGTATACAGGATGCTCAGATGAATCAAGTTTCAGCTTTCAGTGACAACTATGAAGATGGATTCAAACAGGACTTTTTTTCAGGTTGGTATTCTAAAGAACTTAGGAACGTATATTAATTAAAGAATGTTTAACTTCTGATTCCTCCTTTGTCATTTCTGCCTGTTTCTCTTAGAAAATTAAAAATAAAAAATGAATGCCATGACTTTGTCCAAAATGGATTATTAAGAGGCAAGTGAGGCAAATGCTAAAAGGTTTTAGCATAATGTTAATTGTATTCATTCATTCATTCATTTGAAAAATACTTATGAGACATTTAAATGTGCTAGGTATTATACAGCACGATTAAAAAAAAAAAAACACAATAACAAAACAAACACCTGGCCTTCATTCAAGAAGCTTGCTGTTTGTTAGGAGATTTCAAAAATTAAAGAAATAGATAAAATGTGGTTACATGCTCTTATTTATTTATTTAATAGATCTTTCTTTTGAGTCCCTACCATGTCTTAGCCCATGTGCTCAGACCTGGAGGAAAAGCAAACAAAACAAACAACTTGTTGCTCTCTAGGAGTTTACACTCTACATTGAGGAGCATCTTGAATCATTTTTCCGGGCAACAGACTCTGAGACAAAGGTTTGCACACAAAAGATGTGTTTGAGCTGAGGGTTTAGGAACAGAAGCTAGAAGGAACTGAAGAAAAGAGGATTAGGTGGAGGGAGAAGCTGAAATACAGAGCAGCTGCCTCAACCAATATAGTTTATTCCACAGGAAGTCTGGGCATGGAATGACCATTAATGAAAGGGACCTGATCCTTATACCACTCCTCTGGGGTAGTCCTAATGGATGAGCTGTCCCCTGGGAAAGTCTGTCACCTTGTCTGTGGCAATTTACTTCAAATGATGGCAATGCCTAGAAAGGAACTGGTGTGTGTCATCACCCAACCAAACTTTCTGCAGTTTAGGAAATGAAAGCCTAGGGGGTGTCTTAGTACTGGGCCACAGAATCTAGTATGGGGACAAAGAGAAAATTAGAAGGGTTAATGACATAAGATGGATTTTTTTTAAAGATTTTATTTATTTATTTGAGAGAGAGAGCATGAGAAAGGGTGAGAGGAAGAAGCAGACTCCCTGCTGAGCAGAAAGCCTGATGTGAGTCTCCATCCCAGGACTCCAGGATCATGACCTGAGCTGAAGGCAATCGCTTAACCAGCTGAGCCACCCAGGCACCCATAAGATGGATATTTTAAACAACATGAATGCTAAGGAGAAAACTGAAGCAGAGGGGGAAAAAGAGGTCTGAGTGAGTGATTTGTAATTTTAAGAGGATAGCCAGGCAGTTGCACTCTTAAGTTGATGTTTGAGCAAAGACTAAAAGCGGTAAGGGAATGAACCTTGTGAATATTTGGGAAAAGAGCAGTTAAGGCAGGAGAAATGGGGAGTTAAAGGTCTTCAACTGGACATGTGTCTGGAGGTTTGAGGAAGAGCTAAGGGGAGACACATAGGTAGAAGAAAGAATATGGGAGAGGAGTGTGGGAGGTGAGATCAGAAATAAAACAAGGACAAGATCAGGTAGGACTTTCTAGGTCATTGGCTCTTTCCCTCAGGGATACAGAAAATTACTGAAGAATTTTCATTAAGAGATTGTCATGATCTGGTTCCTATTTTTAAAAGGATAATCCTGATTTTTTTTTAATTGATCATTGACTGGAAGACAACCAAAGGCTCAAGTAAGAAGACCAGTAGGAAGCATTTATAATGACAGAGAAAAATTGATAGATGATGGACCACTGTGAGAAGTTGTCAGTTCTGGATATACTTTGCTAGTATCAAACCATGTGAGGATGGAAGGAAAAAAAAAAAAAAAAAGGAAATGGAGGCTGAGTCCAAGGTTTTTGTCCTGAGTTACTAGAAGGATATGGCTGCCATTATTTTCATTAACTACTACAAGAACAACCACAGGAGGAAGAAGCTTCAGTAAGGGACAGAGAAGTCAGAGGTCAGTTTGGGACATGTTAAGTCAAAAATGATATAAAATACCCAAGTAAATATATCAAATTTAGCAGCCCCACATATGGAATTGTTGTCTAAATTCTGTGTATGACACAACAAAATGGGATCTGTAGAATAGGTGTAAGTCTAAGGGGGGTGGTCATTCACTTATAGATGATAAATAAGCCCATGGCTTAGATGAGGTCAACAGAGAAATGCATGCTATCTTGGGCCAGTGTGGTAGCAAAGTGAGAAAATAACAGATTCTGGACCCAGTTGGGGGTAAAAAAGAATTTTCTTGTGCTTGTACCTTCTTTTTATGGGCAGCGGATGGGCAGGCAGGGAGGCTGTGCAGGCAGCTCAAGGAAGGACAAATTGAATCATGAAGTCATAACAGAAGTCACTATCCTAATAGTCAATGGCAACAATTCAATTTTATTTTAAAATGCAAATCTGATCATACTATTCCCCTATCACTTTACGTACATGTCTATTCACACTCCTTATATTTTGTTTGGATTTTTTTTATTAGATCTCTATATTCTGTGCCAGGCTGTGGATGCTCCAGGACAGGGACTACATATCTGTGTCTTCAGTCTGACACCAGGTACATAGTAGGGACTCAGCCAATGCTTCTTGAATGAAAGATTTGGAAGTAGCTGACCACAGACTTCCCTTCCATCAACACAATTCTCTAGTTCTGTGATTGTAATTCCTAGAAATTCTAAGAGACTAAGATAATCAGAGGTGCAAATCATCCTTAAATTGTATTTCAACTTAATTAAGATTCTACTAGGAAGAATTTTTTTTATTCAGACAATATTGCTTCTGTAATTTCTCCCCAGATTCTTTGTTTACTTCAGTACACATGGTCTGATTGTCAGCATTTGTTTAAATCTTGAAGTAACTAAATCCTCAGAGCAGGGCTGTTTAACTCACTTGATACTTCGGGGGGGGGGGTGTTTTTCTTTAACTAATTTTGTGTATCAAGGGTTAAATAAGTGTTACATGAGCTCAAATGGATTATTTCCTGATTATTCATTTAAAAATTAACCCACAGGGGCGCCTCGGTGGCTCAGTGGGTTAAGCCTCTGCCTTCCGCTCGGGTCATGATCCCAGGGTCCTGGGATCGAGCCCCGCATTAGGCTCCCTGCTCAGCGGGGAGCCTGCTTCCCCCATCTCTCTCTGCCTGCCTCTCTGCCTACTTGTGATCTATGTCTGTCAAATAAATAAATAAAATCTTTAAAAAAATAAAATAAAAATGTAACCCACATTCTTCTATTAAATTTAAAAATTACTCACTAATGAATTAGTCTCTTTATTTTCTTTCTAGGTAACATGGAAGAGGATAATCAATCCAAGTGGAATCTAACTACTCTTCCCTATCAGGGTAATATTTATACATTGTATTTTTTATCTACATTGTAAATACTAGGCAGTATAATTTAAAACATAGTTACTAGCTTTCTTAAAGATATGTCAAAATGAAATGAATTCTGTGGTTTTTTACTAGTCTAATATTGCAACAAAATTACCGTATTTCTTCCATTCATGTATCTAAGCAACTGTTTCACCTATCCATTCTCTATTTACAATTATGCTGAGGAATACATTATAATTAAAACCAAAGACTAGATCTTGGTTAAATTTCACAGGTATTTTGATCACATAAGTTAATTGTTTGAGGCTGTTTTTGTGTATATATGTTTGGGGGGTATGTGTGGAAGCACTCACATGTAGTTGTGTTTTCCAGAATATGAACATCTTTATGTGCTAGAATAAGTACGTAACTCCGTAGAGCCTTTAGTCAAGATTTTCACCCAAAACAAAAGGTGCAACAGAACAAAAATCATTTTGATTTGAGCCCATGAACTCACCATAAGCTATAGACCTCAAATACAATTTCTGAAGATTTATTGTTTGTGTTTGAGAAACTTGGACTCAAGATTTTTTTTTCCACTCAGTTTTAGCCCTACACATTCCCCATGGTTTCTAGATCACAATATGTACCCAGTATAAATGAAAGATGATTCAAATAGCCCACTGCTAATTTGTACTAACTCTTGGGGGCGGGGGGAGAAAGTAACATTGGCCCCAAGTAGCACATTGGTATATCATTGTGTTTTGCTCATAGACTTCTCAGTGTTTTGCAGATTCTGTATGTACAGATTTGTGTTTACTTTTCCATGACCCGGACATATCCTTGCTTTCAGGAATCAAAGGAATCCAGTCCTGTTTGGAAGTGGCAGAGGCGTGTGTAGGGGATATGGTCTGTAACACACAGTTGGCCCCTTACCTTAAAGCTTGCTCAGCAAATGGAAATCTGTGTGATGTGAAACACTGCCAAGCAGCCATACGGTTCTTCTATCAGAATATGCCTTTTAACATTGCCCAGATGTTGGCTTTTTGTGACTGTGCTCAATCTGATATCCCTTGTCAGCAGTCCAAAGAAGCTCTTCACAGCAAGCCATGTGCAGTGAACATAGTTCCACCCCCTACTTGCCTCGATGTAATTCACAGCTGCCGAAATGATGAATTATGCAGGTGAGTAAAAACACGCATACCTTACTTTCTTATTTCGGCACCTTATTTGTTACAGTCCAGTCCTAACACTTGATCTCATTACATTAGCTGGAGTTCCCACCTTCATCCAACATGATGTAAACAAAGCCAGACGACTCATATTTTTCAATCTGGGGTACATGTGTAGTGTCCTTTTTGAAATTCAAATGCAGAACATGTTTTTGGAATAAGTGAATTCAGTGTGTCAGGATCTGGTAGCCATGAAATAGTATTATTAAAATTATACACCCTAGTGAGACTAATGAATTAGTAAATAGACCTGCCTGGCACGTCAGTTTAATTTGGTCTTTGGTATGATGACTCAAAGTCGTTAAATGCCATAGAGTTTTGACACGGCGCCTCTTCAAACCTCAGAATGAATCTTTCTCTCTTAGGCTGGAGATCCGGGAGGAGAAGGTAGCCTGACTTCAGCTTGGACATCCCCAGCACATATGTATGCTATGATGTCAGAAATGTACCCATTCTCCTCTTCCTAACCTCACACCCTTGATTTTCAGGGGAGTAATGTCAGTCATTTATTTGTTTATTTAAATAAATAATAATCAAGCACCTTCTACTATTCAGGCATCAGTGCACACAAGGGCAAAATGCTTGCCCTGGTAGGGGAGTACTTATATTCTAGTAGGGGGAGAAGGATAATAAGTAAGTCAAAAGGTATATTCTGAGGTAATGAGTGTTGTAGAGATTAACAGGCAAAGGGAGAGGACAGAATGAGTGCCTCTGTGAATGGGCAGAAAGAGCTCAGTGCGAACAGTGAGGTCCCAGTAGGGAGCATTTTACCAGATTTGAAGATGTTGGAAAGTGAGCCTCTCTCAGTAAGCATCTGAAAAAAGAGATACCAAACAGATCAACCAGTGTTGAGGAAAAAATACAGCATATTCAAAAAGCAATGAAGGTTGAGCCTACATGGGGGAGAGCAGTAGAAGATGCAGTTAGACGTTAAACTGGAATGGCGGGGCAGGCAGGCTTAGATCACATAAGGCTTAGGGGGACACTAAGGACTTGGTTTTTGCTCCCAGGGAAAGGGCGGGGTTCTGGAGGATGTTGAGCAGAAGTATGAATGAGCTGGCTCACTTTTTAAAACTTCCACTCTTGCTGCTAGTTGAGACTAGACGGAACCTTTGCAGGTAATTACTCTTGGGAGCCATAAATCTAATTCAACACTGGCTTTTTCTTTCCCTCACTGCAGTCTTCATTAACACATTTCCTTGTATATTCAAGATGAATTTATCTTTTGTGTGGTAAGAAATTCACAGTGAAGTGGGCCTCTTTGGACGAGTAAGAAAATGCAGCAAAGAATGAGAGTACTGAATAAATCTGATGAATCAAAATGATTAGTAACATTGATGTTACCAGGTCAAGGAGCTTTATTTAAACAACCAACATTAAATTATATAATTTAATATATGGATTCATCTTTTGCTTCTCTTCAGAAAAAAATCTTCATATCAGTTTTCCCAGTGTCTTGAATCCGGGACAATTTAATTTCATTTAAATAAATAAAACTCCATAAATAGCAAAATCACTTAAAGATCAAAATAAACATTTAATGTGGAAGAGTAGTCTAGTGTGTGATAGCTCAGAGCAAGAAGGGTCACATTTGTCACATTTGCATTTTTTTCCGAATTTCACAGCTAATTTTCTGAATGAAATAAGTTCTATGAGTAGATAAGTCACATGACTTAACTATAGCAAAACACATATTTAAAAATGAGTAAATGACTCCTAGGTACAAATCTACTCTCCATCAACTCATAAATGATAAACCATACTGTCAACACTTAGATTTACATAATATTTTCCATAAAACCTTTAACTGCATTAAATTGTTCTTCTGGCTCAAAACTTTTGTAGGAATTTCTTAAATATAAACTTTAATAGGCACTGATTATTTTTTCCCATTACATTAAAAAACTGATTTCTTTAAAGTTACTTAAAATATGAAATTATTAAAAATAATATTTCTGGATAAGCGGAGTAGCACCATGTGGACAAGTAAGCTCATGATAAATGCCTATATACTCAGAGGGTTTTCATGCTTGTTTGACAGTGATCTGTTCAAGAAAGGGTAAGAAGTAATTTTAGGTGATAAATATTAAGTAGGCAGATTAATATCCTTGGTTGCACTGAGAATATCTTCTTTCTGTGAAGGTTTTAAAAATGAAATTATTGTACATTATCTGGACTTTTCATTCAAATCTAGTATAGCACGAATCAAATACATAGTCAGAAAAGTTATGAATTGATATCATTCTAATGGATTATCTCAGTCATTGAATAAACTCCTAATTCTTGCTTTAAATTAGCCCTTGCTGCCGGAGAAGCTCAAAGTTTTTATAAATTCTCATTAGTCCGCTCAGAAATATTGAGAAAAAAGTACAGTACCTTCCATCCTGTGTGAGAACTGGCTGGAAAGGTCAAGAGACTTATATGAAATCACTTGGTGTGAGACAGTGGCCAAATGCTAGCCACAAAAGTACATTCTGCTTCAAAAATCCTGCTAATAATTCCACCAAGTAGTTTATACTGCAAAGCATCACCAATTGAATTAAAATTAGTAGTGAAGGATGATTCATCCAGGGAATCCTAAACTTAGCCTCTGTCTTTCATCACAAAAGGAAAATAATTCACAAGGTTTCTCTTCTTTGACAGTCTCTGTTAGGATGCTTGTATGTACTAACTCTGTGTTCAGCTACGTATTGGGGTTTAGAAGGTCTTTTGTTTGATGCCAGCCTTTCATTAGCTGAGGCAACACCAAGTGCTATTGCAAGATAATATTATTCAGAGGAATTGCATTTCTTGATTCTTTCTAGGAGGCGCTATAGAACATTTCAGTCAAAATGCTGGCAGCATGTGACTAGAAAGTGCCATGAAGATGAGCTCTGCATCAGTACCTTAAGCCAGCAGGACCTCATTTGCTCAGGAAGTGATGACTGCAAAGCAGCTTATATTGGTACCTTTGGGACAGTCCTTCAAGTACAGTGCACCTGTAGGACCATTACACAAAGTGAAGAATCTCTGTGTAAGATTTTCCAACACATGCTTCATAGAAGATCATGTTTCGGTAAGTTATATATATTCAGTAAATCATACTTTTTTTTTTTTTTTTGGTCTATGCAGCACAAAGTAATAATCCAGCATAGAAAAGTTAACAAAGACAACCTTATGTTTGCTGTTCCATTTTATCTTTTTAAAAAATTTTTTAGAAGATTTTATTTATTTGAGAGAGAGAGAGAGAGATCACAAGCCAGTGGTGGGGGTGGGGTGCACAGGTTGAGAAGGCAGAGGGAGAGGCAGACTCCCTGCTGAGCAGGAAGCCCGATGTGAGGGTCAAGCATAGGAACATGGGATCGTGACCTGAGCTGAAGACAGACGCCCAATCGCCGACTAAGCTGCACTGGTGCACCTGCTATTCCATTTTAAAATGTATTTTCTGATTATGTTTTGTGTATTTGTTATTTTACTCATTTATATATAAGTGGTATATGTGTTTTAATGTATATGGTTGGCCACTCCTAGGTATCATTTATTGATTTCAATATCAACAGCATGCAGGATTTATCCTATAAGATTACTGAGTATGTCAGTTATCTATCATGAATAACAACCCCAAAATGTAGTAGCTTAAAATAACCACTTATTGGCTCATAATTCTGGACAATGGGCTTAGCTTAGTTGTGTGGTTCTTCCAATGGTCTTGCTGGGGGTCACTCAAGTAGCTACTGTCATCAAGGGACTCAGCTGAGTCTGGATGGTCCAAGATGGTATCCAGCAAGCACTACTGACTGGGATGCATGATTCTTCTCATGTGTCCTCTTTAGCAGTTGACTCTGGACTCTTACACAGGTGACATCGCATTCCCAGCAGGTAAGCCCCGATCTGCATGTACTTACCAATTATCCGCATCTGTCACATTTGCTAATGTCTTATTGGACAGAGAAAGTCCCATAACCAAATCCAGAATCACTATGAGAGGAAACTATACAAGGATATATATTTTTATTATATTATTATATTATATTATATTATATTATATATTATATGTATTATAATATATTATATTATATTATAATAGATTCTTTGGGTGATCATTAATTTAATCATCTAATACAGCTGTCCCAACCTCTGTAAAACATTGACTCTTGGATTTAGTTTTTCTCCTCTTGGTCTTTAACATGTCTGCTCATCTACCTGTAATGAGAGGCTGGAAACATATTCTTTAAAGGTAATATTTACTCAATTTTACGAATTAAAAAACTGAGATTTAGGAATTTTACTAATTTGCCCAGAGCCTCAGAATAAGCAAGTGGTTGACAGGGATATGTGTAGGCATCTTATAGAAAAAAAAAAAAAAAATCTAAGGATGTGATCACATATTAATTCAAGACATCTCTATCAACCATCTTCAAGGGTTTGTCCTTACAACTATCCATGTCTTAAAATATCCCCAGGCCCACTGGCTCTTCACTGTAACCATGGAACCTGCAAATACCATTCCCAGGAGAAAATCATAGATGTTTACTGTTTTATTGCAAACCAGATCCTTATATTTACACATAAATTTGACAGATATAGTTATGAATATATCTATACCATACCCATTTAACTATATATAGATACACACATTTTAAATGTTTTCTTTTTTATTAGATACTAAAGAGATACACATTAACTAATGTGATCAAAATTGTGATTTGTTGTGTATTAGATAATAGATACACAACTCAGAGTGTATGGTTTTAATTCCAACAGAGGTCTCTGTGGAATTTTTACAATTTCTATAATTAGCACCATTTCAAATCAAATTTCATATTCAACTGAAATCATGATACAGAGTGGAAAATGTAACATTACTTGTGTTGAGCCATATTACATAAATAATGGAATATTAGGTGGATAATTCTGTTAGAACTAAAGGTACTTATAAGGAATGGTTAATAGCATTATAGAAGGAAATACCAAATAAAATAATTTAAACCAGCATAAATAAATACAGTTATATTACCATGGTAATTTATAAGTGGGTTTTTCCATATTAAATGATATCCAGGAAAAAAAAAAATAGGAAGATCCTACATGTCAGCGGTAAATCAGTTCCTAAAAATGCCAGTCCTGACAACCTAATTCCAGTTCCGAGTCTGATTTTCTCCCATGTGTTTTTAATCATTGTTATACTTTATGTGCATTGTGTTTAGCTGCTGTAACCTGTACACAGCCAAAAAATTTGTAGAAAAACAGCAGAAATGGACACTTAAAAAGCCATAAACATCGAAGTACTATGTAATGCTTTGACAAATGAAAATTCAAAACTCTTTCACTTTCTTTATTCACTTAGACTAAACTTTGTGAGATTTTCTTTTCAAACATCACTTACTAAAAGTAGGAGTTTCAAGTGACAGCTTTGAAGAATTAAAGGAACATTCAAGGCCTTCCGTCATAGTTCTTGAATTGACAGGAAACGTTTCAAAACAAAGCAAGAACTAAGTCCTTCAGCCTGGCTAGTTCTTACAAACCTTTATCCCCTGTTCCAGGTACTTGAGAAGAAGTACAACAACAGTTTTGAAGGAACCATTTCCCTAACATGTTTCCATCCTGACTATTCACATCACTGTGGCCTGCTCATGCATCATCAAAATGATTCGTCCACGTAGCTCCTTTCCAAAGCTCTTGGGCTTTGGCTCACTCTTCTTGAAAGGAGCTGAATGGAGTAGGGCTCAGAGGGTAGTTTTGGAAGATTTTCAGTTTGCCACCTTTGTTTGGCTTAGAAGCATTATTTTTCAAATTCATTTGACCCCAGACGGCAGAAGGCAAGGCATGTTACATTAGCTTTTGATGTGCAATGTCTTCTATTACATTAATTGTTCCATTAACTGTCCATTAATTACAACGCTGACTACTCCCACTAAAATGACTTCATGACTAGCTAATCTGTTGTTGCCTGAAGTTTGAAAAACACTTGCTTGGAGCATAAGTTCATCTGGAAATAATCTTCATGGATGTCTCCAAGCCAGTCTTATAATAATTACAAATAATTATAGAGTAGTTAGCATTTATTGAATGCTTATTTTTCAGTTACATTTTCTCATCTAGTCTTAACGTTTCAGTGAGTTAGATACTATTATTTTCTCCATTTCATACATGAGGAAAAGGAATCTAAGGGATAAAATGGCTTGCTCAGGGTTCTACACCCAGGAGCAGGCAGCAGCCTCAGGATCAAACCCAGGCTGGCTGACTTGGAGCCTGCTATGGAGGCTGCTATGTTCTCCTTCCTGCCTGTGAAATGGTAAAGACAAGCTCGAATCTGCACATGCTCCAAAGCCCTCTCCATGGGAACTTCTTAGTTCTGCTAGCTTTGAAAATGCCCAGAAGAACCCACCTCCATTCCTGCGTGCAGGACTGGATTTAGGCAAACTAACTTTTTCCTGAGCAAATTGTGTATTTGGCCACTAACTTCCTCTTAACACCACACTTGTGGATCCATACAGACTTCCTTTTCCCCTATATCTTGCAGCACAGAGCAAGTTTATGACAGTTAGAACTCAGAGAGAGGTGGGTAAAATGGAAGAGAGAGGAACTGGTTGAGACTGAGAGCCTTCCAGAAGTGGAAGGAACAGAAAGAGTACTGCTGTGTTTCCTTGTTCCCTTGAAAGACTCAGTCTGCAGATGTGAGGGTACCTGGCACTGACAGGAATGTTCTATTTTGCCTTGCTCAACATTGCCTTTTTTAATGTCAACTGTAGTCAAAGAGATTTGGACACATCCCTGTTCTGCCTCTAAAGACTCAGTTTTTTTTTTTTCTTTTCTTTTTGAAGAATGATTTTTAAAGAATAAAAATAAAAAGAGACTACCTTTCTCTATTAAATCCTATGGGAAATGGAAAGCATATCAATACAGATATAATAGAAGTTTAAACAAAATTTAAAGAAAACAGAAATAAAAAATTCTGCCCCTAATTCTATTCTTTAAAGAGAGCCAAGGTTAACAAAGTTGATGCACATTATTTTGAAACTTTTTTTCTTATAATACATACATAACTTGAAAACCTTGTATGCATGTAAACAGATGCCCACCTCACACTGATGCACACATATACAAATATTTTTTAATGGAATGAAACTATACATAATTCTTTACAATTTGCTTTTTATTTTTGTTTTTGTTTATTATTTTATTTTATTTTATTTTATTTTATTTATTTTCAGTGTTCCATAATTCATTGTACAATTTGCTTTTTAACTTGAAAATATATGGTGGGATATTTGTAATACATACGTATTTGATGACTTTATTTATTTTTTAAAGTTGCATGACATCCCATGGTATATGTGCACACACATGCATACACATGTGTATACCATAATTTATTTAATCTATAACTAATAATTTGGACATTTAGGTTGAAAGTGATTATTTATTATGATAGGCATTGTTAAAATTAATGTCATTGCACATTTTAGTTGGCATTTCAATAGACTATATTTCAAACAGTGAGATTAGTAGACCATTGGATTTTTATATTTTTAAATTTGGTAAAAACTAGGGGAAAAAAAGCTTGTTCCAATTACATTCTTAGAAAAATCTTAATGTTTTAGTTGACATTTTTATTATAAGTGATGCTGAACATTTGTTCAGTGGTTTGTTGGAAATGTTCTGTCTTTGACCTACTCATATTCTTTGCCTGACACATCTGCCTTTTTTAGTATCAGTAAGTGGAATTTTTGTTACCTGTATCAGAAATTTGTATTGATATGTGAGAATTCACTAATCTGCACACCTCTTAAAATAATCTTAATTTCATAATCTCTTAGGGAGAAGTGATGATCTGTTATATTTGGGCTTTTGCTCAGATCTTGACCTGCTATGTGTTATCTGGGTTACGTAAATAGGAAGCTTTAAAATCATTTCTTGAATAGTCAATCATTCTTCAACTGGGTAATCTCCACTGCCGTTAAGTTACCAAAGAAAAAGTAGAATACAAAACCAAAAACAGACTCTTAAACTATAGATGACAAACTGGTGGTTGCCAGAGAGGAAGTGGGTGGGTGAAATAGGTGAAGGGGGTTG